AACACCGGAGTTGGCGCGACTCCAGTCCACCAAATCTGTCTCAATGAACTGTCGGATGCCTTTACTGTCGGCACTAGTCTTGCAGAACTTGAAGGTAATCCTCTGCAGTTGACACACGTGTCTTCGGTAAATGGGATCAGATGGACATTAGGTGTTAGTCAATGCAAACAACAATTAGCCATACCTTCCGATGCCATTATAGTAGGCGTTTCTAATGTAATCCGCCGGAAGCGCTGGATTGTGGACAATGAATCGGTTAAGACTGAACTTTGATAACTCCAATATCTTCACCATTGCCACGGATCTGTTGGATCTCTTGATTCACTGTTGATGTCTTTGAATCAATTTTTATGACTATATTATTGTTTGCATTTCTATATCACATGTGTTTATAAAGCATATAAATTACGTCCACTTTTTGGGTTTAATTTGTAATTAAATTTAATTGCAATTAAAATTCATTTCACAGTTTTATTGGCAAACAATAAAGTAATGAAATGTTTATATAATTGCGATATATTTTTGGTCTAAAATACCATTTTTATCATAAGTTATAATAAGTTATAATTAATGTGAAAATGTGTGCAAAAAGTGGACGTCTTTTATATCGAGAAATAAATTGTTTGGCATTTAATGAATGTTTGAATTGTTTTGAATCAAAACTTTGATTATTTGACTTAATGTGAAGACATTACCGCCGAAGATGTCGACGGATAATGAGATATCAACTCATTATTCAGTACTTAATTGCGATGAAAAGGCGTCTAAAGAAGAGATCAGAAGACAGTACAAGAAGTTGGCTCTTATGGTAAGGCTTGCGATAATCACGTGTTGTTTGGCGTGAAATGAATGTCCAATTTGTTGATCATTAGACACATCCCGACAAATGCGAGGCCAAGACTTCGTCCGAAGACTTTCATCGCATCGATAAAGCCGTCAAAGTATTGGACAACGACTCGAGTCGTCGTCAATACGACTCTCAACTCATCGGTAATGCATTTCAAAGACCTTTGATTTGATTTGGTTTTAGTTTTAATATTAATTTGTTTTATTAGACAATAGAAGTGATGACTGTATTATCAATGAAGACATCATTATTAGTGATATGACATTAAATTGTGGTAAATATTAATGAATGGAAATACTGTATAAAAAGTGATTAACTATTGTCTCGATGTCTGAATCAGATGTTTATGAATATTCGTGTCGTTGCGGCGGATCTTATTTGGTCTCAAATGAAGATGTGGTCACTTATAGGAAACAATTGACACATAATTATCTGATAATTGATTGTAATTCGTGTTCACTTTCTGTGAAATTAAAAATTTAATTTAAAATCTTAGATCTATTTTGAATATAAATTGTTTTTGTTTTACAAATAATGTTTAAAATGTTTATATTTTTGAAGTTTTTAAAAACTTATATTTCCATAAATAAACATGAATTAAATTTTATTTACCAAACTATTACATGATGTGTGACAACACCTTTGATCACATCCTGTTTATATGCAATTGTAGGCATAGATAAGCAGTGACTTAATCGATATGATTGTGTGATATATAAATCTAATTCACTTATGAGTTAACTGTAAGCATAAAATTTGAGTTACAATTAAAATTATAATTTATAAATGTATGGAAAGAATACGGCTATTAGTAGTTGACTATAAAATCAAAATATTTCATTCATTCACTGAAACACATGAATGAAATATTTCTAAGTTATACTATAAGTTTGGATGAGATCTAAAAGCTGTATCATTAGGAGTCACTACTCTATCTGATGGATGCGGTGAATGAGTGCTCCAGATATGCCTCCAGATGTGCTCACAATCCCTTTCACATCGATTGGTGTGTCTGTGAAGTGTGTGTTATATAATCAGATCGATTGGGCTCTGAGTTGAGCGCTATTATTGAGTCACAACTCATACCGTTTTGTTCATCACTAGAGAACTGGTGGCTAACTATAAGAGGCGAAGAGAAGAGCACTTCTTTCTAATGAAAATATAACTATGAAATGCATTGAGAAAAAGATGTTTGAGTTTTTGGCATTGAAAGCGAAGACAACTGATCATCACATTCACGAGTCCGACATTCATAAGAATGTGCTCTTATTATGACTCAAGAGATACAAGATATCAACTCCGAAGAAGTAAGTCTTCCGCTATTTTATTACAACTAATTTATCGCTCAGTTTATCTCAATTTCCATAATTAGTATTCATTATGTTATGTAAAATAGTTTGGGTTATAAAACAAGTTATTCAAGTTATGGGCTCTCCGTTTACGCGCAACGACTTGTTGTACAGAATTTGCAAAACACTATATTAATGACAAATACACACAATATTCTCATATTCTGTCACTTTTTATAAGATAGTCTAATATCGGATAAAAATTGATTGCTCTCTACGCTATGTTTTAGAGTTAATTATTTCGCTATTCATTAAAATTTTCTAATTATTTTTGATTATAATTACAAAGGATTACGAATTTTGCTTCTCTCTCTCTCTCTCTCTCTCTCTCTTTTTTATTTTTAATTATCTTATTTGAGTTTAAAGTGCAAATAAATTAAAGACTAAAAACATGTTAAATTTGTTGTGTAAATCATGAATCAATACTTTGTTTGCATAATTTATTTGACGGCAGTATTGGTGTAATTAAATATTGAGTTGCGATCAAAGAAATAGTTGTGTCAATGACTTGAATTAATCTTAATTCACGACTACATAACTGACACATTCGACGGCTTAATCCATGCCTTTGAGCGATACTATGGATGCCATCAACTGTTTTTGAAAAGGACTCCCTTTTCCTAACAGAAGTCACACACATATCATATGAGGGGTAAAGAGACTCGTATTTATTATTTAGTTGTGATTTATATTAGAGTTGACTTTAATTTATGTGTTTTGAAAGAATATTCTCAGCAGTGGTTAAACTTCTTTGTGGGAAAAAATAAATTCTTGACATTTTTTTAATATAAGAATTTTTCTTCTTTGGGAACAAATTCTTTAAAATAAAAATTTCGATGTTTTTATAGTCGGCCTATTCTTTGCCTTTTCTTTCTGTAAATCTCTTTAAATATTCTCGACTCTATTGTATCAAAAATATTTTTGATTTATATCTTCAAAAGTCTTTTCGCAGAGGAAAGCCATCAATAATTCTGTAAAACATATTTTTTTGTGAACTTTTTTTGCTGAAAACTATTTCTTTTATTTTCTTCGCCCACTTTCTCATTGCTTAAGGACTTTGTGAATATGTTTTGTAAAAATAATTTCAAGTTTTAAAGTTATTGCTTAATTTTGATTTAAGTCGTTTGCAATATTCAAAACAAATTTGTTAAATAAATCTTTTTATTTTTCTTTCTGTTTCTCTCTTTTCCTAAAGCCTTATATTATTTTCTCAAAACTGAAATTGAGTTTAACTTTCAGCTCAAATCTATTTCATTCAGAGGCTATTCATATGATTGCCTACAGATTTAAGCACTCGATGGTGTGTCGGCTCCCACTAAATCTCATTTGCTTTTCTCTATTAAACGTATTTCTATTGAGATTTTTCAATAAAGAAATTTTGTGAAATTGTATCAAAATTCTGGTTTTTATTTTTGTTATTTATATTTACTGTATATAAAAGAAGGCTTTATTGAGAGAACAAATCAAATTCAAACATTGATATTATTTTAATGTGATCTACAATTGGAGAATATTTTGTTCGTTCCGTAAATACAATCAATAAAATTTTAGTTCAATTTATTGCAAACCTAAACAGTAATATATAGTTTGGATAATAAAATCCCGCAAAACTTCAGTATCCTTTTTAATATCTATTGTTATCCATAATACAGTAAAAGACCTTTTGTGTGCAGTACCAACATTTCAGCTTTTGGTTTACACAATTGATATGTTCACACAGTTGATACTTTTTAACATTATGTTATAACTTATAACAACTATTATCAAAAAGTAGTTTATTTAAATACTAAACAGAATACTTAATTCATTATTATTTTGAAGTATAGAATTTTAGAATTTATACTTTAAGTAAAATATTCATAGAATTTACAATAGAATCTACAAGAATCTTTAATAAATTTGAAATATTTAAAGAACCAAAATAATTTTCGTAATTATTTTAAATAAAAAATATTTTAATTAGTTTGATGTTTATATATTTCACCACATTAAAAGTATTTAGTTTAAAAACATGTGAATATTTCACATTTTAATGAAAATTTTGCCCAAAATTTCAATATTTAGCCTAAATGAAATGTCCCTACCGGTAAGTGTAATTTGAGTGTCAAAATGAGATTTTGTCATAAATAGTGTATTGTATTGTCTATTGAATAATTAGTGATTCATAATCTTCACGTCTGACGGTTACTGTATTCAGTGTGTCAATTGATTGACTATAGTTTTATATAAAATATATACAGTACAGTATATACAGAATACGATACATATAATACCATTTCTTAAAAAAGACGTACAGATATAGACAACTATTTTTAACAATTAGTATTAATATTGCTCAATACTAATAGAGTTGTGGCATTTTCTTATCCACACTTTAGTTAACGATAGACTTGTGTCGACTATATTCTAATGTCTATAACGATAATCTGTTTTTGTTTTTTGAAGAAAAGAGATATTCTTTGCCATAATATATACACTAATTCTATATAACAATCATATCTAATAATATTATTCTCGAGAAAAACTAATTTTCATTTCATTACTACACATGGAGTAAGCATTGAGTTTGAATTGTATTCATCTCGCGATCCCTATCTCAATGTTATCCATGAAAATCAATACATATTTTTTCGGAGCTGGAAATCCGATGAAGTATTTTGTGCCATAAAATTGCCTGTAAATGAAATGACAACTTAAATGCCTATCAATGCTAACGCAGAATATTCTCTCTATAAGCTATAAGAATGTGAATATAAATATAATATTAACGTCAAAACCAAATATATTTAAACATTTGGTAAAGAATTTTATGTGAAAACAAAACTATGATATTCTGTAATATTAATTATCATTTTTAGTCAAATCTCTGGTGTTTTTGTAGACATTTAATTATATTCTCGTCATTACTAATAAGTGTATGACTTGTATTGAAATAACAGCTATAAAACTCGAAATGTCATATAAAAGGCTCACCTAATCTCACATTCAGTTTATGTTTTCCTAATCCTTCTGTCAATTCAATTAATACTATAATCGACTATATTTTCGGTGAATTTGTTCTCATTATATCCAACCGTTTGTTTTTACTTATATTTATCCATTCAATACTAGTCTTTGGTTTTTGGTTCAATCAATTATATTGACGACATATAACTCGATGTGTCGTCTCTTTGTTTTCATCGCTGTTTTTCTTCCGATTCTCTTCTCTTCTCTACATATATTGACTCAAACATTGAGTACAACAAACATAATGTCAAACAACTAAAAAAGAAGACTTTTATATATATAAATGAAAGACACATAAGACTGATATATCGGTGAATAGTTTTATTTTATTAGAGTTTGATTTTGATGTCAATCGGAATATTTGTTAATTTGATTTTAAGTAATGGTTTGACTCGTCTTCTGATGTGTTAAACAAAGCGTTTTTTCAAAAGATGACAAATACTTGACGACTAATCCGATTGTTTGCTATAAAACTCGATCTAATTTCTTGCCTTCAAAAAAAGGCAACGCTTTTATAACAAGTGAAACACTTTTGGATATTATAATAGATTGCGATTTTGAGTGAGAAAAACACTACAATTTGTTATTAATTGGATTTTTAAGACATTGTGAGAGAGAATTGAATGAAAATATAATTTATTCGGTTATGTCTGAAGGAATTTGTTATTTTTGATATATTATAGCAATTTTCACACAAATGTTTTATTTTCTCTCTAAAATGTTGTGATGTTTAATGCCATTAGTCAGTCAAACTAGTGGTACAACTTATTTCAGACTAGAGTTTCAACATTTAATGCAATTTTCCCGTTATTCTTACGATAAATTCATAATATCATTGAATATATCTTAGTTTGTATACATCTTTAGTCTAGATATAATAAATTACACAAATTGTTAGTAATTTTAGTAACAGTTTGATAATATTTATAAATTTTATAACTTATATTTTAAACTTACTGCAATTAAAATAATAAAATACATTAGGAATTATTTAGATAACATAATAATTATAAACACTATTAAGTATAAGTAGGAATTTGTTAACATATACTTATTTAACATTAACTTATATAGATTTGTTTACAATTTAATTTGAATTACTATAAATTATAATAGGAAGTAATATTCTAAAATCAATACTTAAAACTGTTTAGTATAAGTTATAAACTTACTGTAAATTTACTGTACTGTATAACAGCAATTATATTTTCATATTAATAACTTACTTTAAATTAAATTTAAATGATATTCCTTGCTAAATAATTTTATGGGTAAAACCTTTTTTTCCTTTTAATGCATTTAATTGCTTTCGTCGGGTATATAACGGGTCGGGAAAATCGGTTAAACATCTAATTTATAATATAATTTTGTTTAGCTTTTGTGAAATGCTTTTGAATAAAGTATTCAATGCATAGAAAAATCTTGATTTTGAGTCTTAACATTAGTATTGNGAAATGACAACAAAATTCACGACATTATTGATCAATAAATTTCCACTATTTTTTTGGCCATCATTTGGGATCACAATTGCCAGACATAATGCATACTATTTATAGGAAATGGAAAACTTAAAAAAAAAGATATAAAATCAATAGACTTGTAATATTTTCTTCTTCTTTTTATCTAATTATACTGTAAAACACAAGCGATGTGTCGATCGATACCTTTATTTGAAATCAAAGAATAAAAAGTGTTTTCAAATTAAATGTTTGTACAACTCGTTTGCGTGATCTCTGGCTCTTTTCTATACTCTATCTGTTAAGAGAAATGTTTTATTTGTATTTTTACGTTAAAACTTT